GCATGTTGTGGGATGGCCACCCCAGCTATTGTGAGATCCCCCCCACCCCCCTCCAGACACACGTGCGCGCGCATGCACACACACACTTTCCTGGGCTTAACAGATCTCCATCACAGCTTGATGTCTTTAGAAACTACTGCAGTCATAACATATCCTGGATCAGCACCAGATTAGTGTTTTAACCCTTGTCAGAGACTAGGTGGGTTTAAATAACCATCCTCCTAGAAAGCCACCTTAGCCTCACAAGAAGTATTTTCCACCTTGAGACCTAGATCCTGTCTACATTAGAGAAATGCATTAATGGCATAGCTTGGTTAACTAAAGAAAAAATTGTGCAGGGAGCCACATTCCTAAGGAAGCTCAACCTTCATCCGGGGACCAGTGTCTGAAAGCTGCTAGCACCAAGACAAGACAGACTGTCCAGGAATATATATGAGTAGGAAAAGAATTAAAAGTATGCCAAGAAAGCCTTGTAGAATGAACCATGACGACTCTGCTGTGCTCCTGAAACGGACTCACTATGCTGATATTTCCCACTATAAATGCCAACAATCAGTTTTTAAAAAGATGTAACTGGCACAAAATGGCAGACCACTGAAGGGTAATGAATAGTAACATTTCACTGAGACAGCTCAGTCTCTCACACTTCAGCACAAGTATATCAAGAAGCCAACAACCCTGGAGGGCTTCTTCTCTAGGCAGGGAATGGGACGAGATAACTAACTACATTGGGGGCTTTACTATATTTCCTCAAGCAGACAAACTCGTGTGTTTTCAGAAAATGCAGAATCCAGATATGACTCCCCACTTCCCCCACTGAGTAGCGCATACCAGGTCCTGAGACTCCATGGACATAGCCAAACAAGCTCTCTCTGTCCTCATCACGGATTTTTGGTATCTTGGAGAAGTCCATCTCGCCCTTTTTACCTGCCAAAAAAGAAAGTCAGTTAATTTGACACACGGCATGAAGAAACCTAATCCAGCAAGCAGTGATCTGACTTCCTTCAGGCCAGATATGGCAGACTACTCAGAAATACTGATTTAAATATTCAACCTACAGTATCCACATACAATACTACAAAACATGCATTAGAGTATTAGCAGGACTCCATTTTCATTGAACCTCCCAGACCATCAAACCAAGTGGAGGAGGATCAGGACAAGTATGGGTCTCTTACTGAATGTGGGAGGCAACCTTGTGACAGCAGATGCAAAAAAAGCTGAAGTGGTCAATGCCTTTTTTCACCTCAGTCTTCACAGGCAAGGGTAGCTCCCAGAGTACTGCACCTGACAGCAGTTTGTGAAGGAGGAGAGTAGCCAATTGTGGCAGAAGAACAGGTTAGGGACTACAGTAAAAGTTCCATTAACTGGCACCTTACAAGCCAGCATACTTTATTAAATTGGCATGCCAGCTTGTAAGGTAAAGTGAAACCGGAAATGCCCACTGTGGCACTTCTGGTTTTGCCGAGCCCCCCTGGCCTGGGGACAACAGGCTGCGTGGGGCCTGCCTCCCTGTCCCACGGAAGGGGCAGCAACACCCTAGACGGGGCAGAAGCAGCAATGGCCCGAACAGGCAAGGATGCCTGCTCAGGCCACTCAACCAGCATATTTTGTTATCTGGCATCCCCCATTCCAGGGGGATGCTGGATAACAGAGCTTTTAGTGTATTTAGAAAAGCTGGATATATCCAAGTCCATGGGGCCAGATAGGATGCACCTGGGGGTGCTGAGGGAGATGGCTGATAAGATTGCAGAGCCACTGGCCATAATCTTTGAAAACTCACAGCTTTCAGGAGAGGTCCTGAGTGATTGGAGAAGGGTAAACATAGTGCCCATATTTAGGAAAGGGAAGAAGTAGGATCCAGGGAACTACAGACCAGTCGGCCTCAACTCAGTCCCTGGAAAAATCACGGAGTAGATCCTCAAGGAATCTATTTCTAAGCATTTGGGGAAGAAGGTGATTAGGAACAGTCAGCATGGATTCATCAAGGGCAAGTCATGCCAGACCAACCCAGTTGCCTTCTATGATGAGGCAACTAGCTTTACGAACACAGGGAGACCAGTGGATGTGGTATACCTTGATTTTAACACGGCTTTTGATACCGTTTCTCAGGCACTCACAGGCAAGCTAAAGAAGTATGGGCTGGATGAACGGACTGTACGGTGAATAGAAAACCAGCTGGAGCATTGGGCTCAGGGTAGTAATTAATGGCTCTATGTCTAGTTGGTAGCTGGTATCAAGTGGAGTGCCCCAGGGGCCAGTTTTGTTCAATGTCTTCATCACTCACCTGGAAGATGGCATAGCATGCACCCTCAGCAAGTCTGCAGATGACACCAAGCCGGGGGGAGTAGTAGATATGCTGGAGGGTATGGTTAGGATTTAGAGTGACCTAGACGAATTGGAGGATTGGGTCAAAAGAAATCTCATGAGGTTCGATGAGGACAAATGCATAGTTCTGCACTGAGAACAGAATAATCCCATGTCCTAGTGCAGGCTGGGCAGCGGCTCTGCAGAAGAGGACCTGGTGGTTACAGTGGACAATAAGCTGAATATAAGCAAACAGTGTGCCCTTGTTGCAAAGAAGGCTAACAGCATACTGGGCTGCATTTATAGGTGTGCTGCCAGCAGGTCAATGGAAGTGATTATTCTTCTCTATTCAGCACTGGTGAGGCCACATGTGGAGTATTGTGTTCAGTTCAGTCCCCCACTACAGAAAGGAAGTGGACAAAAAAAAAACATCGGACAGAATCCAGTGGAGGGCAACTAAAGTGGTAAGGGGGCTGGGGGACATGATTTGTGAGGAGAGGCTGAGTGAACTGGGCTTATTTAGTCTTGAGAAGAGAAGACAGAGGGGATTTAATAGCAGCCTTCAACTACGTGAAGGGAGGTTCAAAAGGATGGAGCTAGACTGTTTTCAGTGGTGGCAGATGACAGAACAAGGAGCAATGGTGTCAGGCTGCAACAAGGCAAGGTTAGGTTAGATACTAGGAAGAATGCTCACTAGAGGGGTAGTAAAACACTGGAACAGGTTACCCAGAGGTTGTGGAAGCTCCATCCTTGGAGGTTTTCAAGACCCAGCTAGACAAAGCTTTGGCTGGGATAATCTAGTTGGGGATGGTCTGGCTTTGAGCAGGGAGCTGGACTAGATGACCTCCAGAGGTCCCTTCCAACCCTAATTTTTTATGATTCTACAAAATGCTCTCCAAGTATAACCACTTTGTTTCGTTGTCCCTCCCCAGTTCTACTTGTGTTACTATGGAAATACAATGCTGTTACAGCTCTAGCTAAGCACAGAAGGAGTAGGCTTTTTGCCATCTTATTTGCATGTCACAGGAACACCATTCTGATTTTAGAAGTGCTGTGTTGCTAGCCATAGAGAGCAAGGGCTCCCAAGTGTCCACAGGGTAGACCCAATACTGGCAAATGGTTTACCCCCACCACTGTGTCTTTCAGAACAGACTTGAATTTACTCACACAACCCTCTGCCAGAGCCAACATTAGGACTCCATAAAGAGTAGCTACTTGCCCCAAGACCTATTCATTAGGGCAAAAAGATGCATGGTTTACCACTGGCCAACCCCATACATATGCCCACCCTCTTGCAGGGCTCTTATCTCAGTCTGCTCTCTACAGGTGGTGGGGTAGACAGCGGCTGCTTTCCAGGCCATAGGACCCGCTCTTCTGTCATATATAGACTCCTTGCTCCTTACCGTCTTCTGTGGCAGTTTTACTCCAGGTCTGTTCCACAGAAGAGTTCATTTTTCCCCAACTTCACTCTGCCACAATGCCTACCACCCTAAGCAAGTAGAATTTTCCAAGCCCCAGTGCTCACTCCAGCGACTCATTCAAGAAGCTAGACACAGATGACCATGACTCAGTCCCTTCCAGCTTGGATTGGACTGATCATCTAGATATCAGAGGTTCTGCGTTCCACTAAGTTAAAGCAAGTGAGTTGTTCTGTGCATGGGCTGTCCAATGAAAACTCGTATCTAAGTACTAGAAGAACATTTTTAAAGTTGCTGATGCACCAGGTGACTGACTCTTATATGGACACCAAGATTAATCTGAAGCACTGGATCTAGCACTATTTTCCTACCCATCTTGGCTTGCAAACCAAATAAAAACTACTGCATACCTTACATTCAACTGCTGCTCACATCAAAAAAGCAGCTAGACCTAGAATGCTTACACTATTACAGGATTTTGCCCATGGAACCCCCAAGGCCAATGTTTCTGCAGAATTAGGCACTATCTACCTAGACTTCATAAGAAAACATGCTGACACAAGGACCGTGGTGATTTTAATGCAGACCAAGCTAGTCATACTCATAATCATTTAGCTGCCAGAAAAGATGAACCAAATTATGTAAAGAAATAAAGCCTCACTCCCGACCAGGTCAACAAAGGCATGATGGGACTTGGAGCAGACCATACAATACTGGTACAAACTCAGGCAGGGGCCAACACCCAAGAAACTACTGAAAACATATAGCAGCCAGCACCAAACAACAGAAGTGGCTTAACTCATCTTCGGGAAAAGCTCCCAAGAGTAAAAAAAAAAAAA